TTATTAATTCAGTCATTTGTTTTAACAAATCAAACAATTAAGTATCTTTTATATTATATTCAAATTATAGTGATTCCGACCACTCAGTTGCTTACACCTGCAATTTCTACCAGAAGGAAGAGCTTAGGTGTAACGCGTTTATTTTTTGCACAACTTAATTGTTAAAAAAAAAAAATTTATTTTTACTTTTTTATAATAATTAACTTTGATGTATTTAAGCATTTTCGTCATAAACATAATATAAGCTTTTTATATGCACAAATAAGAGCTTTGACTAAGTCTTTTTTTCTTACTTTTTTTAAACTAGTCTATAAGAATAATAAACTCAAATAATATACGTGACTATATTCAGTTGAATCTTGTTCAAACGTATCAATCTTTTTCTTCCAAAACTGTGCTTTAAAATACATCATTGTTATTCCTCAGGTATACCAAAATGTGTTCTGAGAAGGCATAAGCTAGACATCAGATTTTTAGAAGTCTTAGCTGTGTAATTTCTGTTTTTTGCAGGTCATTTTAGCTCAAATTCGAATACTGACGATGAGACAAAAGAAGAGAGGTCGGCGAATGATTGTTTCTATTAGATTTACAATTATACTCAGTATTTTAATATGCTTTGTTATGACTGTTATCAATATACCCAGCATGATTACTTTCAAGGTACAAACTAGTTTTTTGTTCTAATTAATAAGAAATGTGCTTGAATGAACATGAACATAGTAGGAAAACAAGCTGTAAAGGTTTACTGAAATTCTGGTTTTTCCGACATGTATTTGGCTAAAAGCAGCTTTGCGCAAAAACTTGACGGTTAGAACAAGTGCTTTTAAGCTACCACAGTCAAGATGTTTAAGTTCTTCTTAAAAGCAACAGAACTATTTGTAAGGCTATTTATTTGTAAATTCTATATTCTCAGATAATAGTAAAAAAAATTCAGATATTTGAAACTGACGCTAGTACATACATGTTTTGTAAGCTGATTATTAATGAAACAGAAAAAACGTTATCTTTCACTGAAGCGCCACTATATGACACCAGGCAGAGGTTACAACAAGTGGACAAGGAAAGTGTATTTGCAGTTGTCCCAATGCAAGAAGACTGTTTGAAGCTAAAGGTGATGTTCGTTTCTATCATTTCATTTTTCACTGCTTGCATAGTGGAACTCTAAGTGCTGTAGGTTGCTCACTCTGAGCAGTACTTATTCAGCAGACTTTCTTTCTTATAATTTCTATTTTTTTTTTTTGAAGTCTCTCATTTCTTTAACCATCTCTGTAAAATAGGAGATAAGTGAAGAAACAATTTTCTCCTTCCTACTTTTGTTTCCCAGTTGATGGAGCGAAGGGCAGAGAGGAAGACGGCGGAAATTCAGGTTTCACGAATAATTGAATAACTAGGGAAAATAATAAGTCTTCTATTTGTCATATTTTAAAATACCTTTTCGTTATAATATTTAGAAAACTCAAGAAGCATACGTAAAACTGAATCGTTTCCGGCGAAGTGATGAATTTTGAGACGAGGTTCTGGAGTTCTGCAGGTTTATTCTTGTCAATACAATGCTAAGATAAGGAGTTTTCATAGTGTTACCAATTAGGCATTCAGTTAAAGTGGTCGATTCATCACTGTCAAAAAACTAAAATGTGTTCTTAGTTCTTCATCAAAAATGTCAATTTTGAAAAGCGTATAGTTATCAATTTTTGGATTGAACCGTCAATGTTACTGTTCTTAAGAAAAAAGATTATCTGCAGATTTTCCATCAGAAAAAGTATTTGGCAATTAAACTTTAAAAGCAACACCCGATTGGAAAGAATAAGCTCAAAAAAATTAAACAAATCAACCTGAATCCTAACTTTGTTTTCGACAATTAAACTTACAGTCCTCTTAAGCGCACGAAGAACTTCTTAACTAGCTTTATCAGACGACAAGTACTACACTAAAGGTTATTTTGAAAGCTGGAAAATGTGATAGGAAAAGCAAAAGAAAAGCTAGGTCGTAAAGTCTCACTTCACGTCACACGACAAAGGAAAACTGCAAACAGCTGGCACGTCATAAACTATGTAACCTAAACGCTTATTGACTTGACCATTTCATGCCTCCTTCTCGGTCTAAATGACCCCATACCAACTTTACCAATATTTTTCTCTTGCTGATTAAGTTGTAAGTACAACCTTTTTACTGACATTAAATGCTAGTCAATCTAAATACTGATAAAGTATTACTTTCATTCGCTCTCTTCTACCCCAGTTTTGCTATTTTGTTACAAGCGGAAACTACGAGAGTGTAGTTGAGGAACTACAATCAAGAGATAAGATAGACTATTGATCTGTCTTAAATTCTTAAACAATTTCTTAATTAATCTGTTAAATAATCGAGTATTGAAACACAAAGTTGTCAGGTGAATACCACGTGCGGCCAATATACGAAGAATCAATACACCATCTGGAAATTTGCATTTGTCATCTCAGTCTCGTTCGACTTCTCCAAGTTCATTAAGAGGTTCCACGAACTACAATTCGTTTCACCCGTCTTCTCGCTTCTGACCTGAAGCTCCCAAAACTGAGAGAATTGCAGATAACTAACTCACTAAGCAGCAATAATCCTACTTCGATCAGAAGATTTTAAATAATGTCTGTTTAGCTTGCATTCTGGACAAACGGCCTTTGTTTCAAGATGTTTCCTTGTATAATGCTGACAGTGTCTATTATCATTCTGATTAAAATTGTTGCTGATGTTTCTAGAAAACGAAGAGCATTTGCAAAGGTAAAAATTAGACAATTAAATTTTAACAAATTTCATTTCAGTAATTTAACTCTTAAGCAATGATTAGATCTAATACTAGAATTCTTTAAGGTGCTCAAACGAGGAAAATTACCGCACGATTGTATATCGCCTATTTTACTTGTTGTACTTACTATATTTTTAATAACCGAACTTCCACAAGGCTTTCTATCAATGCTAACTGGATATTTTGGAAGTCGAAAATTTCACTCCCAGGTTTGCCAACTGTACAACTCTTTTGTTCTACTTTCATTACAATTATATTAATAACTTGTATGACAGCAATCAAATATAACTGTAAACCATGATTAGAGGAATAATGTAAGACACAAAAATTTTTTTTCAAAATCATTATAACGTTTTTCTAAGGTATATCTACCTCTTGGAGATTTCATGGATCTGCTATCACTAATTAACTCTGCTGTTAATTTTGTCATTTACTGTACAATGAGCAGAAATTTTCGACATGTGCTTATCCAGATGCTGAAGGAACGAAGTCTGCTAATATACGGTTACAAGTTAGTTTTTTAATGCCGACTTACTCAAAGAATTCTTTAGACAAAAATTTTAAAAAACCCTTTATAAGTAATTGACGGTTTACTGACAAATTTCCTGGGTTTCAACCGTTATTCATTGACTATTTATTAACTTTATCATATTTTATACGACAGTGGTTACTTCGGCTTCATGCCTACAGTTAACAGAGAATCAAATAGTTCCTAAAATTGTCAGTTTTTCAGAAACCCTCTTTTCTAGCAACATTTTAAGTTAAAACTGTTTCTGTAATAACAAGTTTTTTAATTCCACCATTGTAAAAAAGAATTACTAAATAAAAATGCTATTTTCACAACCTACAAACGACTACATTTTTATTCTGGAAGACCAGCACTGACAAAATTGAACAAATTTATCTTTTCAAATGTTACCATTAGCAAAACAAAAGAATAGAAATTTGCCGACCTTAATTCATCATCGTTAGCAGCAGTTTTTACAAGAATAATATCCTTTTCACTACGATAAGCAATAGATTTTTAAATTTGTAGATGCTGCACTATATTAGGTGACTGATACGAGGTAAATGAGAAGAGTTCTGTAGAGGGGATATCATTGCTAAACTAGTTTGCAACTGGGATTGGCGTTACTAAAAACGTGTTAATTACCATTAAAAATGAGAAATGTGACACGAATAAAATCCAGAATCATTAGCCGTAATTAGAAACGAACTAATTTAGAAGTTTCTATCGTACACACAGCCTGGTTAACCCTTGTTCCACCTAGTTAAAAATTGTTCTGCTTCTTCAGTCTCGGCAAGATAATTGCTTGCTACTTTTCCAAGTAGCTGGACTGGAGTTCTTTCGGCTCTTCCTGCAGCTCTTTCGACAAGATAATTTCAACAACTTCCCTCCATGCTTAAACTGCAGCAAGTTTTTAGGCCTCTTCTGCAACCAAATTCCATTCCCATTTTTGCCGCTCACTCGCCAAGTTTAGCAAAAAATTTCCTGATTCCTCTTCGCCATCCATCCAGGATTTGTCAACTATATTTTTCAACCATGTTCCTCAGTTCTCTTTCGCTACAACTTATAGTAACATTAAGAAAAATATTGAAAATCTAAAATGCTCATTATTATCTAAAAAGCTTAAGAAAACAAATACTTCTGAAAAAATATAAAATTACTTGTTATTTTCACAGTTAAAATGAAAATTTCAATTTATAAGAATATTTAGAACACAAGCAGTCAAGAATTTTTAACCAAACTAGAGCTTAAATTTACTGAAAAAAGTAAAGTGTTTCTCAAGAAGTTGAAATATATATAACTCCCTTGAATAACAAAGAATTACTTCAAAGTAGTGTCAACTAAATTTGGGTTAATAATTTCCATGTTAATTTAGAGAGAGCGATAATGTTGCAGCCTCTGCACCGCACAGCAAGCGACTTTACAGTGAAGACTTAATCTGCAACGAAACTGTATGTTCAGCATTTATTTGTCGTTACAGTAAACAGTGTTTCCAGAATAAAATTTTTTAAATCCAAATGCCAAAAAAAACGGTAAATACTGACCCACATAAATGGCCTTCATTCTAGATTCTGGCAAGACGTAATGGCAATCGCAGTCAGAAAGCATCTACAATGGTCAAAGAATCTGCAGGGACAGAACGGTATAAAGTTCAACTGCTTCATCACCCTGCAGATGCCGAACTACCTATGGTCCTTAAAGATGAAAACTTGCTTTGAAAGTTGGGTTTTCCTCTAAAGTGGCTGCCGTGGCTGTCATCCTTCTATTATTTATTGCACAGCAGCAGTATTTTCAACTACTCCGCGCCGATGATTGCCATTTATTTGAAGAGATAAGGTGGAAGCAGTGGATTGGCTATCAAAAAAACTTAAATTCATTATCAGCCTCAGAAATAAGATTTTAATTAATTCTATGTAAATCTGCGCGTATATATTTATTAAAATACGGGTATCAGTAAAGATCTAATAAAACAAACTGCATGTCATGCAATCTTTTATCTCATTTAAATGACCCATAAATCCATTGGAACGTTGACAACAGTGCTGGTTCTTGTTTCTTCTGCAAAAGCTTTCCTGAAATGCTCTTAAGTTTAACTCTACCGCTGTACCAAACCGTCTTGCAAAACACACTTTTCCGTCACATCCCTCCACAAGCTCATAATACAGCTCAGCACTGTAAGCGTTGATTTTTCTGAAGATACTTGAGCTCTGCAGTATTTTATTTGTTTGTTCTGGAACTACACCGTCTGCTGTATTTTCTAGACAGTAATTTATCCAGTTCTTCACACTTCAAACTTTTTCGGAATTTCTCAAACAGATTTGAGAATTCATATAGCATTAAAATTGAAAAGTTAGCTAAACGAAGCTGAACAAAAACAAGTCTTTCTTGAGGTTCCAAAAAGGAAAATAAAAGTTCTATAAAATGTAACCAGACGCACAAGACTAATTTTGCAACAAATTAAGTTAATACTGTATTTCAAGTACTATTATTACATTTCTAACTTTTTTCTAGCCCAACCGCGAACTACACTGCTGTTGGCGTTTTATCAGTATTTAACTGATATTTTTTTCAATAAAACTAACCGAAAAACAATCTGTTTATTACGCCGCTTAGGCAACCTGCAAGCGTTTTCCCGCTTTTCAACCTGACATAATAGCTTAAGTTCAACCGATCACCATGATAAGCACACAACTGTTGCTGCAAAGACTCAATGGATGATATATTTTTTTATTGGTCGCCCAACCAACAGCTCTGTGATCCGTATAAAGTCTGTAGACCCTAACTGGCCCCTCCCTAATACAACAGCTTTTAAAATAAACCAGTATGAAGAGGTAACCTGAATAATTTACACTCAGAGACCTTCAGCAGTTTTTTAAAAGTCCTGGATTCCGTTAAGTAAAGGAACCAAAAATACGAAAAAAATATATTGTCTGTTCACTCTTAAATATCCCGTTCCAGTTAAAAGGTTTAGCAAGTTTGATCAGAAAATTAAGAACCTTCCCCAATAAGTTCATTTAGACAGTCTCACAGATTACTAAGCAATTAGCTCGGAAAAATGAATTTTGAAATTTTCTGGAGTCCTCGGAAACAATTCGCAAGAAGCGTCGGAAAATTTTAGCAAACAAAGCCTACTACCATGCCTCAACAGTCCCGCGAAACTTACTGGATGACGGTTGCATAGTGCAGCGCGGAAGCAGTGGCTCACTGCTGTCGTGCTGCAAAGTTCGATGCCTGCGTGGGTGCCAGTGAAGAACAGAATCGACAAGCATATATCCGAATTTATTTGAGGATACACTAGTCTGAGGCTCCACTGCCCCGACTTTCCAGCAGGAAACAAGCAAGATTTCTCAAAATCCGTTTAAAAACGGGAATACAGGATAGTAGTGCCGGGAAAACGTTTCAAAGTAACGAGCAAATCAAAGTGTCTACAACCAGCCTCAAATGGCCATACTTTCAAAAAAAAAAAA